TGAAGAAATGACCTGGTAACACACCCTATCCCAGACCAGGAAAAGTTCTGAGGAAGGCTCATGGGACCTGAAACGTTAACTCTGTTTTCTCCTTTACAGATTCTGCCAGACTTGCTGAGCTTTTCCATCAACTTTTGTTTTTGACACTAATTTAAGAGCCTGTTTTATCTCTTCTTTAATAGTTCAGAAACATTGCTCCATAATTATTTCTGATTGTGTGATACAAGTACGTTATTCTTGATGTAAAGTTGATCATAATGTTTGGCATTTGGAAACAACGAGATGCTGAGACACAACTTTGAGGAAAGGTACTGAAAGTTGAAATGTTACAAGTTGATTCATGTGTAGAATGAAAACTTTGTCATAAAGAGATGTATAGTATATCAAGTGTTAACAATATTTTCATTTGATGCTATTTTTGCTCTGTTCTGTGACAATGTGAAATTTGTATGAGTATGATGTTTTGGGACTGGCATTTTACTGTTGAGTAAAATTGAGGATTATAAGTGTGACCTGTTCAGAATTTTGCCTGACAACACACTTGGTGGCTTTTGTTGTTCAAGGCTAATGTGGAGCCCAGGTTGTCATTTTACAGAGAAGGTGGGACACATCCAATCTTGTAAACAATGACAGGACAGACCTCTGGTCTTCAAGTTACAGGGAGTCATTGGAAATGTCAGATTTTGTAAATAGTTGTACTGCAAGCTGTTTATTTAATTTCAATACAGAATAGAGGTAAGGTTTTAGCAGATAGTTCCTCAACATTTACACCTGAATTCACAGAATCAGAGAATCCTTACAATGTGAAAAGTGGTCATTCGACCCATTGAGTCCACACCAGCCCCCAAACAGCATCCCCCCAAACCCAGCCCCCTACCTTATACCTTTCACTCCACATTTCCCACAGCTAATCTACCTAAGCTGCACATCCCTGGACACGTGAGGTCAAATTAGCATGGCTAATCCACCTAACCTACACATCTTTGGACTGTGGGAGGAAACCGGAGCATCCAATGGAAACCGACACAAACACAGGGAGAACGTGCAAACTCTGCACAGTCACCCAAGCCTGGAATCAAACTCGCCACTGAGCCACTGTGCCACCATTGTGATACAAGACCCACGTGATTGACATTGCCCTGAGGATGGGCTTTGAGAGGGAAAACAGGCCAAACAAAGCCATTGCAGTTATGGTTTGCAAGGTTTTCTTTCAGATATCCCTGCATCTCACAGGCCGATAACGATACACGACCTTGGGAGAGAAAGATACAGCCAATCTCTATTGTCCACCACACAGAATGTGTGTGGGACATGTGCTCACTTTGAGTGGGCCAAATTTATAAGGATTCACATTTGGTTGGAAGATTCTCTCCACTGTAGCTGGAGGGAAGGATCTCCAGGATAACCCTCATCATACAAGCCAGTTCAGGAATCAAATGTTATCCAGCTGGAAAAGGAGGCAAGCAATTACGAGATGAGAATAATTTTGGACTGGACCCTGGAGAATTAAGTGTAAATTAAGTCATAGTAAAGTATATCCTTAATGTTATCTATTGGCCTAAAAAACTTAATTTGAAACTTTTTCATATATACCTTCCAGTCAACCACTGGGTATTTTATTAAGTTGCTGCTCTTTATGGGGATTTTAACAATTTATGCATTTGGGGGAGCATGTGATTTAAAATTCCAGGGGACGTAACCTCAGCATAACCAAGTTAACAATACTTAATTTGCTCTTTGAGCTGCTGTTAAATTGGCCATAGCTAATTTCAGGTTACTGTGATCAGCGCTGACATGGATTTTTCACACTAGTATTTATGCACTTTGTCAGTTGCCATAAAGGAATGACTTGCCTCAGAACTTAACCTCTAACCCGTTCTTGTAGCCACAGTATTTGTATGGTTCGTCCAGTTTCTGGTTGATGTAGATTGCAGGGAATTCGGTAACAGTAATGTCATTCAACATCAAGGGGAGATGGTTATGGTGATGGTCGTGGTCTGGCACTTGAGTAGTGCAAATACTGCACATAGCCTCAGTGTGGCCCAGACCTTGCTGCAAGTGGGCAGACTGCTTCAGTATCTGTGGAGTCATGAATGGTGCTGAACATTATGCAATCGTCAGTAAACGTTCCCACTTCTCACCTTACTTTGGAAGTGAAGGCATTGATGGAGCAGCTGAGGACCCTACCCTATGGAACTTTGTGCCTTGTAGTGCAGTGATAATGTTCCTGCCTCTGAGCCAGAATCCCACCTGAGGGGTGTCCTTTGTATGAATGGGTTGATCAAAAATATCTAAAGGGCTTTTCTGGTGCAGTGGTATTGTCACTGTCTGTAAGCCAGAAGGCCCAAATTCATGTGACACCTTCTCCAGACGTAAGTCATAACACTTCTGAATAGTTTGATTAAGAAAATCTACCCTGATGAATTCCTGCAGTGATGTTGATTGATCTATCTGTGTCTCTATGTAAATGCTGGTGGTGCATAGAACCACCACTGTCTGGTAGGAAAGTAGCAGTGAAATCACTGGGCCAGCAATATCAAAATGGTTACCGTGTGGAGCTGAGATCAACTGAAGTCAGAGATAGTAGGAACTGCAGATGCTGGAGAATCCGAGACAACAAGGTGCAAGGCTGGATGAACACAGCAGGCCAAGCAGCATCATAGGAGCAGAGAGGCTGACGTTTCGGGCCTAGACCCTTCATCAGAAAAGGGGGAGGGGAAGGGGGTTTTGAAATAAATAGGGAGAGAGTGGGAGGCGGATAGAAGAGGGATGGAGGAGAGGATAGGTGGAGAAGAAACAAACAGGTCGAAGAGGCGGGGATGGGGAAAACCCCCTTCCCCTCCCCCTTTTCTGATGAAGGGTCTAGGCCCGAAACGTCAGCCACTCTGCTCAACTGAAGTCAGCTTGTTTATCACAGAGCAAGGATTACCATCAAAGCTGGACAAGCCACCACCAGCTTGGACAGGAGTTCACTAATTCTGTCGATTTTTACATGAGGGAAGCATTTGGTGTTGAGCATTTTATTATTTGGAAGGAATATCCTACATTTTTTGTAATAGCAGTTGTTTCATAATAGCTGTAAGAGCTGAGCAGGCCTAATTAAACTAGTACTGTGACGAAATAAAAACCGAAAGAACTCTGGATGCTGTAAATCAGGAACAAAAACAGAAGTTGCTGGAAAAGCTCAGCAGGTCTGGCAGCATTTGTGAAGAGAAAATCAGAGTTAACATTTCAGGTCCGCTCACCCTTCCTCAGAGCAGTTCTGAGGAAGGGTAACTGGACTCGAAATGTTCATTCTGTTTTTTCCTTCACAGATGCTGCCAGACCTGCCGAGCTTTTCCAGCAACCTTGTTTTTGTTGCTGCTGGGACTACTTCCTTGTGCTTTAATAACACTGTATGACAACTGACAAATGACAATGACAAATCTTACGTGTACTATTTTTAAAGAATGATTATCAAATCATGGATGAGTGTCTTCTGGGAATTTTTCTATTCATTCATGGAATGAAAGCGCCATTGGTTGGGCCAGAATTTAGTTCCCATTCCTTGAAAAGGTGGTGGTGAGCTGCTGCCTTGAACCAATGCAATTTATTTGCTGAAGGTACACCCACAATGCTATTTAGGAGGGAGTTCCAGGATTTGGACCCAGCAACACTGAAGGAATGTTGATTGACTTGGAGAAGTTTTAAAACGTTCAACAGTAAATTATCAGAAGTATTATTCCAAGATAATGTTAGCTAAAAGTTCGCAAATTATCTTTAGGGGAATATAAAAACAGTGAACATTAAATATTGTTGTAAGTTTGTATGAGTGTTATTCTGACTACATTTTAAATAATTTTGTTTCTTGCCACCAAAAGATTTTGTTTCTAGCAATGTGATTATGTAATTATGCTCGGGTCATCAGTTTGTGGTATTGATTCAGAGATAATTGTCACCAGTGCAGCATCTAGCCCTATGAAATCTTTCATTTCCATTCTGAGATGGCAGACAGTACCTTGGTTTGACATCTTAGCTGCAAAGCATTTTGCTTCCAAGCCATTGCCTGTGCTGATCAAAATGTTTGGAGTTTGCCAGGGATTTTCTAGTGGAAATCCATACACAGTCATGCCCTCGACGATGTGCCTAGAATCAAGAATTAATTGTGGATGGTAGCTTGGCTGCCAGGATTCCTCTTCTCCTGTTATGATATCATGTGTTGATGTTGTAGTGGGAGACACTTCCTCTGCTGTGCAATATTGATTGAAAACTGGCATTTGTATGAAGTGATTTGTTTTCTTTCCTGTTTGAGATGCTGAACCCTTACTGGGATACAGTCTCACAGATGCTAGAACCTCTTTCAAGTATACATTCTTCATATGTCAACCAGGACATTTTGCTTCAAGAGATAACAGTGTTGAGCTGGAGGAGCACAGCAGGCCAGGCAGCATCAGAGGAACAGGAAAGCTGACGTTTCTGGTTGGGACCCTTCTTCAGAAATCAGCCAGATTCTGCATTCCTTCATGACTCGAGTTCTGAAGAAGGATCTCGACCCGAATCATCAGCTTTCCTGCTCCTCTGATGTTGCCTGGCCTGCTGTATTCCTCCAGCTCAACACCTCGTTGTCTCAGACTCCAGCATCGGCAGTTCTTACTACATCTTGCTGCAAGCTATTTAGCCCTTGCCCTATCCCAACTGAACTTGACCCTTCCCTCCTAGGATGTCACGCATATAGATCTTCCAGTGGGGCCACCAGATACTTCCGTTCCCCTGCACCAAACTTAGGAGGATTGGAGCTGAAAGTAATGACCATTCAGTTGTGACAGGTGAAATTCACACAGTGGGACAGATGATGTTAAATATGTTGTCTTGCTAGAAATGCAACATTGATAAAATATAACAGAGGGTCTTGTGGTGCGGTGGCACTGTGCCAACCTCTGAACTAGAAGGTCTAACTTCTATTCCCATCTGCCTTGGAAATGTGTAATAATATGTTCCAGCACTGTGATGAAAGTATTTGAATTGCTTTTCAGCCTTTTGATTAAGATCAAGTGTGGTATCTGTTCTAACTGGTTTTAATATCTGATCTTTCACCTTATGTGGGGACAGTATCTTCAATTGATTTTTGGATCAGGGAAATGGAATAATGATGTGCTGTGACCACAGAAGGGCTGTTATGACACAGTGGTAGCACCTCTACCTCTGGGCTAAATGGCTCACATTCAAATTATTCTAATGCTGGACGTGTGTAGAAACATGTCCTAACAGGTTGATTTGAAAATAATTTCAAGAGCAAATAACATGCTTTATGGAAATTCTTTAAAGTTAGGTTGAATTGCTAGTCAAGTTTAATAAATACTTTCAGTGTCACAAGTGCATTGGAACCTTTGTTTATTATTGAATGGTCAATTCAGAAATACTGTTTACTTTTGGAAAGAAATCTGCTTCAAATCCACATGCACTTAAATTGTTATACAGTGGCTCAATGCAGGTACATTTTTCACGTGTTTAAATTAACTTGATTATGAAATAAACAGTGTTGACTTACACAGAAGATGACAAATTCAGATGGACAAACATTGGCATGTCGGAGTCACTGATTATCTGCATCCCAATGCATCATTGGGTTTGAAGTATCTGCAGTGTTTGCTTCGCTGATTAAGTGCAGCAACTGCCATAATTTTCTCATGAATTATGGATGGTTAGGCTTTTCAAATGCATAAATATTGATGCCAGTCCAAACCAAAATCTAAATGGTAATTACTTAATTCCTGTATCAGTAGACTCTACTTTCCCCTGTACGTGACCCTAATGTTTCTCCATTTAAGTTTTCTATCCAAACATAATCAGGCTTGTGAGCAGTAACATGTACTTCTGCAGACCTACAAAATGAGAGTGAAACTGTGTGGAGTTCTAAGTTGTCTGCGACTGAATAAGATATTTAGTAATTAAAAATATAAAAACTCTTTTTTTTTTATTGCGCTAATCTGTCCCTGTTTAAAATGCATTATTTACTGTAAAATCAGTTTAAAACAGTTTTATGGTGGCACACTGGTTACCACTGCTGCCTCACAGCACTAGGGATCTAGGTTCCAACCTTGGGCGACTGTCTGTGTGGAGTTTGCATGTTCTCCCTGTGTCTGTGTGGGTTTCCTCCAGATGCGAGTTTTCTCCCATTGTCCAAAGATGTGCAGGTTAGGTAGATTGGCCAAGCTAAATTGTCCCTTAGTGTCCAGGGAATTACAGGCTAGGTGGATTAGCCATGGTAAACGAGGAGTTACGGGGATAGAATGGGGGCTAGTTTTGGGTGGGATGCTCTTTGGAGAGTCAGTGTAGACTCAGTGGCCTGAGTGTTCTCTTTCCGCACTATAGGGATTCTGTAAATTAGATCTACCCTTCAGATTTTCACTCTTAAAAACATAGACATGGAATAACACTGCACGTATAGCTCCAGCCTTGGTCACACGTTCTGTCTCCACCCAATTCCATTTGTAGCAGTTTCTTCCACCTCAAACCCACAGCCAGATCTTATTTGATACTCTTGCTTTGGTTAGGAGAGGTTCATTTGTGGAACCTGTTGCCTAGTGGCTTTATTATTCTTAGAAGTGGGCTAAATTTTTCATCTTATGGCTTTTACACCAATCATACTGCTTCCAAGCTGCAACTTATGACCTCTTCACCATTTGAAAGACTTCAGTATTTGTCACATCTCATTATTTTTCCAAAATCTACGACCACATGAAAGAAACAGGCAGGCAGTACTTGCCCAATATTTCATTTATATTGCCTACCTTTGTGAGATCCTGAGCATGCCTCAGCTCCTCAATGTTGGATCTGAAACTTGCTGACTGTGAGGATATCCAGTTAGTTAAGGCCCACAGTCGTGCCTTGGAAGTACCTCAGTACGAAAACCAGCCCTTTAGGAGCACTTGTAATTGGTCCCTTTCATTTTGATTCATTTTGTAAGTTCATTAAAAATAATAGCTGGATCAAGCTTTTCTTTGAATCACCATAGATTCATAAAATCCCTACAGTGTGGAAACAGGCCCTTCAGCCCAACAAGTCCACACCGACCCTTGGAGCATCCTACCCAGACCCATTCCCCCTATAACCCACCTAATCTACACATCCCTGAACACTATGGGGTAATTTAGCATGGCCAATCCACCTAACCTGCACATCTTTGGATTGTGGGAGGAAACCGGAGCACCCGGAGGAAATCCACGCAGACACTGGGAGAATGTGCAAACTCCATATAGACAGTCGCCCGAGGGTGGAATCGAACCCGGGTCCCTGGCGCTGTGAGGCAGCAATGCTAACCACTGAGCCACCGTGCCACCCTAAACCTCCTTGTTTTCACCCTTCGATTAAAATCTTAAGATACTTTTCGCTCAACGATGAAATAACACTCCGTTATAAAATTTGAGTAATAGATTTTTGGTTTGACAATATTTCGAGGGAACAAGCTATTCAGTTAGTAGCTATACATGTGAGACTTATTTATTTAATCTGTAGAACGTGAACCAGACTTAATAAGTGATCTTTTGTAACTTCTTGTATCGTCCTGTTGTTTCTTATCTGTTTGTTTTGCATTTGTGATCAGCTTCTGCACTACCTGTTTTCAATGTAGTTGCGCAGACAATATTTGATGTTTAAAAACTAAGTTGTTAGTATTACAAAATGGAAGTTGAGTATTCAAGTTTGTCACAAAGTGGAAGTTCAGCACTTTTGTGATTACTTTTATAAATATCCAGCAACTGCTCTGTTTTGCTTTGTTCAGGGCTGGATGTGACTTTTAAGCAAGTTGAGATCATAAACTTGGGGCAGTGAGCTTGAATTGCCAGATCGAATCAAACCTCCTTGTCACTAACCTAAGCAAAGGCAAATTGAAGGACACAACATAGGAGATGGATCTTGCAGAAAGACAGTGAACAATAATTCACATTGTTAGCCTCCTAGTCCTTGGAAGGTGTTTCACATAGTTTGTTCAATTAATAAACTGTAATCTGCAGTTGTTTGCTCTGAACAGCATGAATTTTAGTGTTTGATTACAATTGGAATATCCTGCCCTCCCTCATGGTTGTTTCAATGGCAGAGGAGGCATTTAATCAGCCACCCTGGTATGACCCAGCAGTAGGCAAGGGTCACCATATAGGTAGCTTAACAAACCATCCCTAGTGTGTATGCTGGGGGCTTCTCAGGCAAACCATTGTTCAAGGCGCTCTGTTCCTAGAGTGACCCAGTAAGGGATAAACGAATGGAAAGATATTGGAGCCATGGAAAAGAATATTGCGGTGGCGAGACACTGGTAATAGGGATAACAGAATGGAGTTACAGTAAATGGCTGGAAAACCATCTGGAGGAGGAAAGGTCAAGTTTTCTATCAGTATATGATTGACATTTTGAAAGGATTGGAAGAAGTAGGTAGAGAAAGATTAATTTCTTTGATGCATTGCTGACATCAAGTTGAGAATTTCATTAAACACATAAATAGGTGGTTACATGATTGATTAGAATGTGAAATATATTCTGGGACAAATATTCATAACTTACCTCCACTGTCCTCTCCTGGCAGATTAAACCACACAGTTTATATGGTGGAACACCCGATCCTGATGCGAGCTTCTGACTTCTTCATAATGCTGTTACCAAGTCCAACCATTTCCATCTCCATAACAGTCACTGACTTCACAGAAGCTGATATGCTTCTGAAACTTACATTCATGCCTTTGTTAAATCTAGACCCAACTATTCTGCTAAAATAATGAATAAAATGTGTCTCCTCCACACTGGGGAGATCAAACACAGACAGACTTTGCTGAACACCTCCACTCTGTCTGTAAAAATGACTCTGTACTTCCAGTTGCCTGCCACTTTGACACACTACCGTGTTCCCATACTAATGTTTCTGTCTCAGGCTTGTTGCAGTGATCCAGCAAAGCTCAAAGCAAGTTGGAGAACTGACATGTCATCTGTGGATCTTTATAGCCTTCAAGACTCAACATTGAGTTTTAATAGATTCGAGTGAGTATACCTTCCTCCAGTTCTGAGGAAAGGTCACTTGACTGGAAACAATAACTCTGATTTCTCTCCACCAATGTTGCCAGACTTGCTGAGCTTTTCCAGTAATTTCTGTTTCCATTTCTGATTTACAGCATCCATAGTTCTTGCCGTTTTTACCTTCCTCCACATTTGTTACCCACCTTCACATCCCTAGGCCCTGTTCTGAATAGGTTACTCCCAGTATAACCAACCCATTTTCAACTCGCCATAGTTCTCATTGTCACCTACTTGGCATTTACTATGATCAGCAATCCCTTTGTCTGCTTACCCTTTTTCTCTCTCTGTCTGGGCACAACCATCATCTATTTGTGAGCGCCATACCCCAACCCCAACGTCCTGACATCAGCATAAACCTTTCCTGGTTGCTTTCAGTTCCAGCATAGGCTTACTGGACTCAAAACAGTAACAGCATCCACAGATGTTGCTAGACCTGTTGAGTTCCTTCAGCACTTTCTGTTTTCTGTTTCTCAACTATTCTGTGACTGGTAATCTTGAGGTTATCCAAAGCTCAACCGTGTGTGTTTTAACCTGCAACAAGTCCTAATCTCGCCTTGCAGCCTTCATGCTGCTGAGTACATAGCAGAATAGTCTCTGATTGGCTGGCAGCTCTTAATGGGTGTGAACTTGGACCCCGAGACTCCTTGATCCTGGAAATGAAGACACCTTTGAGTGCTTGAGTGGTAGACAATACAGTTTACCTTCCCAAGAAGAGTTTGGCAGTTATGACCCCCATTATCAATGTTAGAAATATGATTTATTTCAAAAAGCCAGATTCAATTTTAAAAAGGTTTGCAATTTTTACAAAGAGGAACATTAATATTTAAAGAATGGTTACAGTGTAGAACAACACTTGTGCCTGTTCCAGCTATATATAAGAGCAACTTAGAGATAGTAGGAACTGCAGATGCTGGAGAATCTGAGATAACA